TAATTCATTTAGGGAATGCTTAATGTTAGATATTAAATGAACTGCGTATAATGCATTCTATCTCTTTATTACAATTAGTTTTTTTGCTTCAACAGATTGCTAGTAAAAACTAAATGCTGCATTTTTTTTAAAAAAAAAAAAAAAGAAAAAAAAAAGAAAAAAAAAATTGAAAAAAATAGAAAAAAAGAAAAAAAAGAAAACGTTTTGTATTGTTCATAAGTTCAAGAATTTCTGGCATAATAGCATATATTTTCCTTTTTATACATTTTTTTTTCTCCGTAAGAAAAACACTTACTATAAATCTATGCTTGATTTAATGGTAGAAAAAAAATTTGCCAATTATCATTGTAATCCTAATAGGAATAAAGTTGAAGCGAAGTCTAAAAAAAGTAGCATTTGAATTAATATTTTATAGTGATAATTAGTAAAGCGTAAAAGTTCTATTTATAGTAGCTTTTGAACCAGTTAAACTTGAGTATTATTTTGATAACCTGGCTTGGAAAAGTTTGCTATTAATCGAGTATTCGAAGAGATCGCTCAAATAATATGCATACATCCTCATTCTTGACGTTAACGAATTAAAAAGAATAAGAATCGCCAAGTATCAATAGAGTGGTTCAAACCTAATGCTCAGGGTTTCTGATTTCGAATACTCGTAAAAATACAATTAATATTCTTGAAAAAAAACAAATAAGGTTACTCATTTCATCTCCAAATAACACCTATTTTATTTTCATATTCAAAAAAGAAATAGGGCTTTTAAAACCCCACTTTATTTTGAATAAGTTAACTTTGAATCGCCCTAATACGGGCTTATAGATTTATTTATCTATTCGTTTATTTATTTATTTATTATTATTTTATTAAATTGTTGTTCTTTAAAACGATAACCACCACGATGGCATGTGAGCAATATTGTAAGCAATATTGTGAGCAATATTGTGAACAATATTGTGAATGATATTGAGAGCGTGATTGTGAGCGAAGTTGAAAGTGAGATGTGAAGGGATTAAAAGAGACTTAAAAACGTAGCGCAGTAGCTTTAACATGAATTTTCGCTTTAATAAAGTTACCTTCAGACTTTGATGTCTTTAAAAGAGTTTTAACGAAGAATCGATTTCTCAATTGACATCTATTTTATTTATGTACATGTTTAGTATTTTTTTATTTTGATACATCTAAATTTATTTATTTTATTTTCGTCATACCTTAATTATCACCTTTAAGAAATTCGTTACTGATCGCTATTCTTAAAGTAAACTACCCTTAATCCGTTATTTTATTTTCTTAAACTTCCTTACCATTACTCCTGCATCATTTATCCTTGAATTAAATACATCTCCCGCATAACATTTAAACTGACCTGATTACTGATTGATTTAATTTATTGATAATCGTGATCGATCCCGAATTAGCTATCTTGTGACCTCATATCACGTGTTCTGTCTTCGTAAATCGGATAATCGCTCTCCCAATTAATAGTTAACAGTAGCGATATTAAAAGATTTATTATTGCACTTGTAATTTTGTATGAGTAAATTTAGGCCCACAGGCAGTTCATAGATACCTGTGGGCCTAACAGGCCGGGCTAGGGTATTGAATTTTGGGCTCTAGGGTAAGGGTAAGGGCTCAATAGTTAAGCCCTTACACAAACGGGTAGGGCTAGGGTATTGCTATTACCCGGCCCTACCCGGCCCATGCGGAGGTCTAGCCACAACCTTCCTAATTTAGTTTCCTGTTACTTACTCTTGCCCTTGCAAGGTTCACAACAACCCTGGTACCCACATTCGAACCTTCTTCTTTCCTGGATTCTTTATTGGTCCCTCCTTTACTTCCAGCTGGCAACCCAGAAGGGTTGGTCTGCCCAGGCTCTAAGTGCCTCACGGTCGCCCTTCCCTTGGTACATGCTTCCAGAGCATATGTTCTTTTCCTCCAGTTGGCATTCCGGCAGTTCGGCTGGTATGTCCTTCCACTCAAGGACCTGGTCGTTCGGTTCTCTGATCTCAGTCTCCAGTTCTGAATCTAGTTTATATATTATTTCAAAAATACAGACTTAATAAACTATATAACTTATTAGAAGTATATACTGCAAATTTTAAAAAAATAATCACTGAACAATTTAAACAATTGAAAAAGTAATTTTATTTTTTTTTTAAAAAAAATACAAATTATAATTCTCCATATCTAAACACTTGATATTCTTTACTAAAACAATACTTTTTTATTGTCTTGATTCTATAAACAATTTTCTCTTTTTTTCTTACTAACTAAGACAATAAAGCATTTTAACTTAATACTTCTGCCATTTGAAGTTGCTCTTGAACAGATACTAGTTGATAAAAAAAAATTTGATATTTTTGCTAAAAACTATAAAAAAAAAAAAAAAAAATTATTATTACTATTATTATTATTTTTTTTTATATATATTAGACAATTCTGCTTTTCTTTTTTATTAGAATTTACAATAACTATTGCTATCTACAACAGTATATAAGCTATTCTAAAAGTATAAGAAAGACTTACTCAATACTGAAGTACCCAGATACAACCTGCTATATAACTATTTATCTCCATCAGGGTCTCAAACTATACTTGAAACTTGTTTTTTAATATCACTAATTGGTTGTTAATACCATATCAGGATCGTATTTCTTTTCTTAAAATTTTTCCTTCTTTATAAAAAGCAAGTTGAAAAAGAGAAAAAAGTATAATATGCTACCAAGAAAATAAACACACTAATAAAAGGGAAAAAACCAATACAAAAAAGAAAAAACAAAAGAAAAGAAGACAGATACTAATAAAAAAAAAAAAAAATAACAAAAGAAAAAATATCGAAGCTAACAAAAAAAAAAACAAAAAGAAACAAAGAAGAACTATTATAACCTGTACTAGGCTTAAAAAATTATATAACAAATACAACATTTGTATATCTCTACTGTAAAGCTATATCTTAATGAAAAAATTTTTTTCTAACTATCTAAATATCTATGTATAGCTTATTAGGTAGAGGCATTATCACATGGAGTAGCACTATATTTGTTAGCAAACAAAACACATAGTTGCAATCTACTGCAATGTCCCAATTTGTATGGAGTAAACAATGCTGATCTTTTGATAAAGATAAGCTATTTTGCTCACTTTTTACAAAAATTTTGTTGAAAGAGTAAGTGAGTAATAGTATAAAGTATAGCTCTTGTACTCTTTTTAAAAGAAAGTATATTTTTTTTCAAAACTAATAAAATATATAGAGCTGAGTATATTGCTGATTTTCTTGTCAGTAGGTAATAAACTCTAAACTTGTTAGCAAATAGCATATGAGAACTACTTCTAAATAACAAGTGCTGTTTCCACAGTGAGTGATAAGCCTTAGGCCTATTAGCAGGTAGCATATAAGAACTATCTCTAAATAACAGGTGCCAGTTTATGGTTTTGACCAGTCTTGTTTTCTTCTTTTCTACTATAGTTTACTGTTCTTGCAAAAAAAATTTTGTTGTGATTTTTAGTACAAGAGATCATCAGAAAGAGTGTCTGATTACCAATTTGTTTTGGTAATTATTATTATTATTATTATTATTTTATTTTTTATTTTTTATTTTTTATTTTTTATTTTTTTTTTAAAAAAAAAACACATCTAAGCATGCTTTATTTATTTACATAATTATTAAGTTTGAAATGTACAAGATTTGTATTAGAAGATTAGAAATTTAAGAATGTTGGTTGGTTCTCTAGTTCCCAAAAGGGCTTATTGTTTGCTATTCTATATAGTAGCTTGATCTCGAATTTAAGTTTTGCATTGACTATTCTTATAACTACTTCTAAAACTAGCAAATTATTACCCTATCTGGCTTAAGTATACTAACACTAGATCAGGTATACTATATTAATATGTAGCTAGGTGGCCGCTTCTTATTTTTTAATATTTTCAATATTGTTCGTCTAAAAGATCTCTTCTATGTGAGTAGGTGGCTTTTTCTCACTTGAGGTCATTAGTAAGTTGTAGGCTATCTCCCATATTTTCTTGCTAATTGGGTATTTAAATACGAAGTATTCTATTGTTTGTGTTATGTGTAGGCAGTAGGAACAGTTTCCCATAGCATTGTGACTAATATATACTAGGCGATAGTCTAGAGAGAGGGCCCTATAGGCGAGACACCAAAAAATATTCTTTTTCTTGTTTAGGAGCTATTTAGATTTTAACCATTCAAAGCCAGTTGGTTTTTGAGGTACATTCTCTGTACTACTTGTTTGGTTAGAAGGGTTATGGAGATTTTGAATTGCCTTCTTGATACTAAATTATTGTCTTTCTATTTCTTGGATGCTAATCTCATTAAGCTCCCAGAGCCAATTACTGTTTGAATTAACTCTACCCTTGAACCTGGCCCAGGCAGTGACATAGGGTTTTCATCTGTCTGGCCAGCCCTTAGTTTTACATGGTGATTGTAAGAGGGTGGCTAAGATCTGAATACCTCTTTTTCTAGTGAGTTCTCATTCTGTGATATTTTTTTTGGTTGTTGCCCAGAAGGTGTTGCTAGAGAGAAGTTTAAACCACACTGAAAGCAGTCTAGCATCTAAGGAGAGTGATAAAAATCAGGTGATTTTTTAGGGGGGGAGAGAAGTAAAAAAAGTTAAAATTATATATAAAGACCTGATCAAATATATAATAAGAAGGGGGGAGGGGGGTATGCCTCTGATAAAAATAAATCAGGTAATAAATAACACTGCCCTAATATGTTCTTGAGTACTGGTGCTGCTAGGCCTTCTAGCTTATAGCTATATTGAAAGACTGAGAGTTGAGATAGTATTCTAGAGTTATTCTTGATCCACTTTGTGATCAGTGTGTTGATTTTATTTAGTTGTTTTCTTGTTGGAGGAAGTAAGTAGGCTAGATACCATATTTTTGAGATTAGTAGTGTTTTTGCAACAAGAATTTTCTCTTTAAGTGAGAGGTTTTTTTGTGCTAGGTCTTGTATTTTGTTCTTGATTATTTTTATTATATCAGATCATAGAGCCTTGTCTGGATTTTCATTTACATCTATCTTGTATCCAAGAACTGTGAATGAGACTTGGCTATTGTGTATGATATTAAAGTTTTTTTGTTCTAATAATTCTACTCTTTGAGCATTTTCTATAAATGGGAGTAGGGAAGATTTGGTTTTGTTGATTTTGGCATTTGAAGCTTGTTCTTAATTTAGAAGAATTTCATTTATCTTGTCTTAGTCTGAGAGTGAGCCAATTCCTATTGTTAGGTTATCTGCATATGCTGCGATTTTAAAGAAAATGCTATGCACTAGTATGCCTCTAATATTGTTGCTTATTGTCCGTACAAGAGTGTTGATTGCTAAGATATATAGTAGAGGTGATAGAGGGTCTCCTTGTCTGACTCTTCTTTCTACTTTAAAAACTTCTGAGATATATCCCAGGTCCATAATATGAGTACTTTGTATAGAAAATAAAGCTTTGACAATCTTGATAAATTTCAGATCAAAATTCATTTTCTCGAGTATTATTTGTATGAAGTCATAACTGACATAGTTAAATGCCTTTTGCTGGTCAAGTAGAAAGATCCAGTGCTGTTTGGTCTGGTCATCTTGGTTTCTAAGCATTGTAATAATGTCTAGTGCTGTGTTTGTGATTGATCTTTCTGAGATGAATGCTTGTTGGGCTGGTCCAATAATGTTGTTGCAGATTGGGTTGACTCGGGTAGCTAGAATCTTCATAAAGATTTTTGCATTAGAGTTTACTAGAGATATTGGCCTTCAATTGTTTATGCTAGAGAGTTTATCTGCTTTTTTGAGTATAAGGGTAATAAGGCTTTTGCTTCAGAAGTCTGGGATCTGGCCTGAGTTTAGAATGTGGTTAAACAGTTTGGTTAGTACCAGTACTATAATTTCTTTAGTATCTTTGTAGAATTCATATGTAAGACCATCTGTTTCTGGTGACTTGTTGTTAGAAAGACTTTCAATTGTTAGTTTGACTTCTTTCTCATCTATTGTAGAGGTTAGAAAAATGTTTTGATCTGCTGTGACCTGTTCAAGATCTTTAATAAGTTAAGAGGCTATGCCTCTGTTAATTTCTTTCTTCTTGTAGATGTTTTAATATGTGTTGCATATATAGTCTATAGTTTGCTTCTGTGAGTTGCTATTGGGGTTATTTGGGTTGTGTATATTGAAGCAGCCTGTTGTTAAGTGTCTTGATTTGTATAGAGCAAAGAAGTATTTAGTGGATTTTTCACCTTCTTCGATCCATTTGGCATTTGATCTCAGCTATCACTTGCTAGATAAAGAGTTTAGTTCTTTTTGTAATTTTAAATTTAGGTCTTCAGTTATGAGTTTTAGCTTTTTCAGATTTGGGTTTTTGGCTATTTTGTTGTTCAGACTGCAAAGCTTTCTATAGATTTTTTGAATTGTTTTTTCTGGGGCTGAACAGGGTTTAAAAGCTTTTATTATTGATTGAATAGTGTATTTGTAAAAGTCCCAGAAGGAGAGATCTTGGATTAGATATTTTGTATTTTCTGAATAACATCTCTTTTAAAATCTGGGTTGTTCCAACTTTTCCTGTCAAATCTCCAGAGTAATGTGTAGCTATGATTTGGTTTTAAACACAACTTACTTTTAACTAGTAGATGGTCTGAGTTGCCAAAGTGAGTGCAAGTGTTGTTGCACATGTGACTGTAATCTGTGTTGATAAATATATAGTCTAAGTGGGTAGCTATTTTTTGATTTCTTTTTGTAGATTAATAAAAGATAAGAAAGAGTTTTTTGGATAACATAATGGCCATGTCTGTGTAATTTTGCAGTAGTTCTGAAATTAGACCTCGTGATAGATCTTGTTGTGCTATTACTTGACTTATTTTGTTTACTTCAGGATTTAAGTTTGTATTAAAATCACCTGCTATAATATTTATTCTGTTTTGGTCAGCTGTGGAGATCTAGCTTTTGAAGAATTCAACTCTGTCCACTAGGTTTGGTGGTGTATATATATTTGTAATGTAAAAAGCTTGCTGTCTGATAATTATATTAGTTGAAATTACTCTATCATTATGTGACTCTTGTGTATCAAGGAGCTTAATGTTTTTTTTGCCAGCTAATATAGCTGTTGTTGCAGACTATAAAGAATTATAACCCTATTGCTTAGATAGGAAATTTCTTGTTTTGGGATCTCTAAAGTTGGTTTCTTGTAGAATTATTGTATCCAATTTGTAAGATTTAAGTAATGTGAGAGTTTTTTGAGCTTTGAACCTATCGTTTAGGCCTTTGACATTTAGTGTAGCAATTTTAATCATTGATTAAGATTTGTTTGAGGATAAGGCTATACTAAAAGATTTGTCTTATTGGTAATTTTTTAGAACAGGGTTGCTCTGTTATCTAATATCTGTCTCTCTGTATGGATAATATGCTTTTGATTGTTCTTTTTTCTTGTTTTTTTGCTCTTTGTTTTTTAAAAGTAGCCAAGATAAAAGGAATATTCTCTTTGGCTTGTTGTTCTGTATTGGCCTGGTTTCGGGTATCGAGTGGTTCTGTTTCTATTTTGGAGCATTATTCTACTATTGTATTGTTTGCAGATAGTGGCTCTTGTATGATATCTTCCTTGTCTTGAGGTAAGTTGTCTGTTGTTTGTTTGGGAGTGGAGTCAAAAGATTTTCTACTTGGGTCCACTCTGCTAAGCAATCAAGATAGGGGTTGTTTTGACTGATAATAGTGTAATATAGAAAGCTGGCCTTGCTAACTATACTACTTGACTTAATGTGAAAAGGGTAAGGATATATGTACACAAAAGGTAAAACTCAAATAAAACTCAAGGAAGACTCAAATATAACTTAAAGGAAATAAACTTAAAGAGAATAAACTCAAAAATAACTTAGAATATAAGATATAAAATATAGAAAATAGGAAGAAAAACCCAGGAAAATACAATAAAAATAGGATAAAAACTCAAGGAAAACTCAAGAAAAACTCAAAGAAAACACT